TTGAGCGCACTTTACACGATTAAGAATGAATGAACGTAGAGCGCACGTTGAATGGAAAACACACGGAATGATGAACGATGAGCCCACGCACATTGAATAGACGATGAATGAACGGAACACGCACGCAGAACGGACGATGAATGATGAATGCACGGGAAATAGGTCAGTTTGAATTTTAGAAGGTCTGTATCTAATGATGATAAATATACTGAGAATTGCAACACATATGCCTAAAAGTTTTAAAGAGTAAACAGAAGTGCACCAATCAATTAAATGATCAAATAATTGATTTTGTCGCATTAGTTTCTTCAAATGATTTTGTCTCATTACTTTCTTTAAATGAACCCAATGATAAGACTGAGGCTATACTACACTAGTGGTCTCAGGATAACACATAGGCTCTTGCAGCATGTACCATCGCCCACTTTTAAACTGTTTTCGTGATCTTATTAATATCATGCATACAATTCTTCGTTGAACGTGGTTTATAAACTTCTCTCAGTATTTTCAATGTATGAGCAAGAAAACGTCCAATGAAGGGGAATACGCTGAAATAATAAACTAATTGCATTGAAAATAATAGAATAAGAAAATGATGTCCATGCCCGAACTGGCTGTGAATAAAACCTAAAAAAAGTCTCATTCATCAGAGTCATTGCACATTCAATTGTTCTAGTGGATATTTTCGAATGATGAAAGAAGAATAAACGGTTTGTTCATACAAAGAGTAAAGATCAAGTAACTGGTAAAGATTATATAAGATGCAAACATCCATCCATTGTTATGGAAACCTTAATAAATTATTCATTCTTTTTCACACAAGATCAATTGAATATTGCATTTTGCAGTCATAGAACAAAGGATCCGCGCCTTTTAATGTAAATCACATAATTCTGATATTTTTCTTAAACTCCTCAGTATTGTGATAATTATTCTGTTTTAAGTCGCAGTAATATTGTTTATGTTCCATCTTAACACACGGATTAAAAACCATAGACGTATTTAATTAGCGTTTCAAAGAAAAACAAAGAAATATAAAGACAGAATAAGAATGAAGTTCATTTTACGTCAATACGGTATTACTTTTATCATCTGTTTATGAAAAAGACGAGATGTGGATTATATGCCGATAACACAACTGTTACACTAACCACACAAAACCCAAAAGACATAGTTGAACAATTACAAATACAGAATGTTAAAGTCTTACAAGTACCTGTACAGAATGCCAAAGTCTACATCGCCTTTGAGCAAGAAACATTTTGAAAAAATTTGATATGCTATCCAAGATCTGTCATTACCCCCGAATTCCTTAATGACATGGGGAAAAATAGAACAAAGGAGTTTCCCTAGTTTCTGGAGGTAGCACTCAACTCTCCTTTTTAATCCCGATCAGTAGAATAGCAAAAAGTTTTTTATAAACACATTCAAGTTACAAGTTACACCCGTACACAGAAAAATGTACTAATTACTAAGTATCGAAGACATTAAACTTATAGTACATATATACATGTATAAAATAAGAAGATATGGTTTGATTGCCAATGAGACAATTCTCCACAAGAGACTAAAATGATATCCTGAGACCACAGAAATTAACAACTATAGGTCATCGTACGGACTTCAACAATGAGTAAAACCCATGCCGCATATATAGTCAGCTATAAATGATCCCGAAATGACAAATGTAAAACAATTCAAACGAGAAAACTAACGATTTATGTACAAAATAAACATCAACGTCATAACAGTGGCGTAGCTTGTCCTCTGTTACTACAGAGGCAGGGGGTCTAGTGTGCTGTATTCCCCAGAGGCTATAGAGGTTTTGCAATTTGAACAAGAAAAATCTATTAAAAATGATAGTGGTTGTTCAAATATTCTCATCATAATAATGTTAGCATGCCCTACACTAAGTTATATTATAGATTTATTAGTTGATAACTGGTACATACTATCATACATCGTTTACAATGTTCAGATGAATACTAGTAAATAAATGTACTCAATTTTTTTTTATCCCTTTTTCAAATCGAATCTTTTCAGTGAACTTCCAAGATCTTAAATTCATTGAGAATAAACTTGAGGAGATGAATATGAGCTATACGTTAATGGCACAGTAAGCCAACAATACAACAAAATTATAAGTCATCTGGAGGTCGACATACGGTCTCAAACAATATATATATATGGCCATACAATATGTCAAGCATCGAAGTTACTTTTTTCTTTTCTCTATGTTTGTACGAACAACATAAAGTTATCACATCAGACAACCACTGACAAGTTTCCTGAAAGTCAATTCGAAAACACAATCTGTCGATATTTTTCCATTCCACCGCACACTCAAATATTGGTGGCTGTACCTCATTGTTACATAAGCTATAACTTCATACCAGGCGGGAGACAAGACCTTGTTCGATGGCCAGCAGAAACCTGCACAAAATTTTCAATGTACAAAAAGATTAAGATGATGATCATGTATTCGTTTATTCATGCACCACATCACTTTTATTGGTTGTGTTTCGTCCTGATATATCTTGGAATGTCTTCAAATTCTTACATGGTTTAGAAATTTTTCCAATGGTGAAAATGACAGCCGGCGAATGGATAAAAGAAATATTTACGCTATTTTGAAGTCTGCAGAATAAATAGTCCGTATTTAGTTGAAATTTTTAATACATAAACTGATATCTGTATGAACGATCAGACTAATACCATATATGTCTCTTAAATTAATGGCTCCTTTAAATATTTAAAATTCCCTGCTAGTGAAACACTTAATTTGAAATAGCAAGAATAAAACTTGAGACCAAAATGCACATTATTTTCTGTGCATGTTGAATGATGTATATTTATTTTGATTGGTATCAAAGTCAATGAATCTCTGACGGTTATTGGAGTACTACACGTAGGAGGAAATATCAATACACAACTATACCTTACCGGTTATATATATGAGGGTTTAGGAAAGTGGTCTTCAAGTATTTATTGTTAATTCTTTTCGCCCATAATTTCCTTTCTTTTATATTTTAGCAACTTTTTAAAAAAAATATCTCTATTCCTTTTAAGTTCAAATTAATTTCAGAACATTTTTCTGTATTCTGTAAACCCCAACCAGATCCTTATGTACTATAACTTATTTTCTCACAAAAAAAAAATAATTTTCCGAACTGGTCAAGACATTCGATCGGAAAAGGCTCGAGAGTTGGATCATCATCTATTTTACTGATTTTGCATGGGTAGGCTTAAATAAATCTTTTTGCTTCAATTTTGTCAATTTCTTTGACTCCGACATATCTATATTACTGAAAACTACCGCAAAGGAGATCTCCAATAAGGAGAGGACAATGTTCCATCAGTCTTGAACTGGCAAAGGTTATGAATCAATAACAGCAATAAGACGATACAAGTTGGTAAATTAGCATTAAGTAGTGATTCTGCTGCACAAGGTGGAAATTGTTTAAAAGATTAAAAAGGTTTTCTTTTATATTTTTTTACCGAGGGGTTGCCTCAACGTAAGCTACGCCAATGCATAAACATAGTAGCTCATAGTAATGCACGATTTTGTGCAATATCCACAGAAAGATTATGCAGAATTTGAATACACTAAAAAATAAAAGATAAGTCTCATTCTTGCCTTAAAAAATCTATCCCGGAAAATGCCAGTCTTACTGATTTTTATAAGAACAATCGTAAAAATATGAGCTTTATCAATAAGTCTATTTGCCGTAAAGACATATTTAAAAACAATATCAAATTTATTTAAGTTTAGTATTAAATAACATTTTCATAAAAGCTGTATCAGCCATGGTGTTCAGCCATCTTAAATCCCTATTTGTTGGATAAATTTTAGTAAAACTTTTTTAGTAATGAAATTAATATTACGGCCATACGGGTTATCGAAATCTTTGACGTCACCTATTATTTTGTGCTGATAGTTTGATGTGACATTTACACACACCCACGTCTCCCTTTATTTATATAACAAATGTAAACTCCAGTATAGAAAGAACCAACTGAACACCACCATCACAGAAAGAATAAATCACAAAATGGAATGGACAAGATGTTTTAAGTCACTAATACATTTTGGTATGCAGATTGACCGGTTGCAGATTGCCGCGATAAAGTCTAATTCTAAGGTTTAATTAACTATCGTTGAAGTTTGTACACAAAATGTAAGTGTAAGTAAAGGTGACCAAATTTCCTAGGTAAATTTACAAAAATCTTGTTAATTTGCGGCAATGTCGTCTAGATAACTGCAGGTAGTGTTGAAAAGATTTATCCATTTGTTTTGCGTAAGATCTACATGATTATTAACAGTTAGAATAATATCAGCAGTAAGAAGTGCACATTAACTTTCCATTGGAATACCAGTTACTTGTCAGTATACCTGGGCTCTCGGTCATAAAACTTTACTCAGTACTCGGAGAACAAAATTTGTGCTCGAAACACTCAAATCAGTGTTTTGATTGGTTGGTTTCTGAGTCTGAGTACGATAATCTCACTCGAAAGTTTTATTACCGCAAGGCCGGTTACTTGTCAGTAAATAGGTTGGTATATCATTCACATATGGGTAAACACAAAATTGCAACACCTGCCGAAATAGCCTATTTTATTTTAAAGATTTTGTCGATGTGGGTAGGCTAGCATATTTTTGGTGTAAGCTCATTTAAATTAATCCTAGTTAAAGAGGAGTCGTTAGTAAGATATGCGAGGACAAAACCCGATGCAGACCGTCATTCGAGAAACGAAGACACACACACACACACACACTGCCAACAAGGCGGTAACATTATCCAGGACCTTTATCTATCAGTATCATTCGATATTTAATGAAAGTTTAACTTCTAGCTAGCCGAATCAATATTTTCTAATTAAACAAACAGAAACGGAAATATGGATTTTAATATTCTCTTTTAAACTGCTACAACTAACCGAACAGATTAAAATATTAATTCTTCAAAACACACCAAAATGGAAAGGTAAAAATCGATAACATCCTTAAAGAATTGTTTCACACTTCAGCACTATTGATTTTAAATTCCATCTTTTCATTTATTTTATGTATTATTCATGTTTGAAATTTTCAATATGTAATGTCATATGTCTTTGACTATCCGTGGTTCGGTTGCTTAACAACGCGATATACCTGTTAAGGTGTGCTGACAATTTCATCCAGGATCAGCAACCTCTATGCGACAAAGTTGTGCACGATGAAGAAAATGGCGGGTCTGTATACCCCGCTTTGTCTACTGATTGTTGTTTCATGGACATATCTTGGTGAGTAAATCATAAATTATTAAAATTATTGTTTCTATGCTCACCTTTGTAATTTTCTTAAATAATTGAACACGGTCATTGGTCATTTATTATTCACCTTTTGTCAGAAGTGTTAAACTTTAAAATTATTTCAATTCTGTTTTCAATATTTAATTTTCCAAAAGCAACAAACACGGGGGAATCAATAAACCGATTCAATAATAAAACAAATTCCAGTTTAAAAGAGTCATCTTTTTAAAAATGGAATCTTGCTTTTATTGAACTTTGATAATAAATGCATCGCTTTAAAATATATTTAAATTTGTTTAAAGGAAGGGCTTAAAGTTTAAGTTATTAGAAGGAAAGGGTTAGGATCGAAGAACGACAAATGATTTTATTTGTGATCATAAACAAAAGGTAGCAACATCCAAGATTGATTGATAGATTGTTATTTGCTTTCATGTCCAGCGGCCAATATTTCATGTATAATCAGGATGAGGACAAATTGATAATACACATGAAAGATTATTTCTGCGAAGTGGATCGACCGGGATAAAAGATGAAAATGTCATCTGTCCCTGGAAAAAAGTGGTATTTTGGATGGGAGCTTAAACATTTATTGCAATAGGTCGCCTATAGACCCCTCGATAATTGTTGAAAGGGTTTTTAACGAGCAGAGAGGTTGGTACTCTGCCCGCACGAACCCGTTTCGATTAAACGTGGCTGCGTATTTACACATCACGTTAAGGCAAACAGACGCTCTTACTAGCATATTTGGTTTTACTGCCAGATTGGAGAATCCCAGGGATGACCGTATTTCTATACCACAGTTAAGTCTACATCATATCTTAACTTACATCTAGAAATTGATCATGAGAGTGGTTGAGAACAAACATTTACGACAAAAGAGACGATTTTAGCTTCCCACTTGTGAACTTTCTATTTCCGTTTCCATGTAGCAACATTCCAGCAGCGCCAGCATATGGAGTATATGTCTCCTAGTTTATACTATTATACTTTACTCCAAAGCTTGCATTTCCTGTGATGACTTCCTTGGTAGAGGGTTGCTACTTACAAGGAAGATATGAAACCAAGAGTTCCAAGTGGTGAAGTTGAAATCATCCCTTGAAAATTTTACAGAAACTATTACGAGTTGGTTGACCGTTATGGAATATGTTTCATAGATGATTACAGATATGTTCCAATTGTCGTAACCACAATGACGTCCTATTTTCCTCAAATGATCCCTACCGATTTAGACTTATCACCGGGTTTGTACATACATGAGCAACACGACGTGTGTCACGTGTGGAGCAGGATCTGCTTACCCTTCCGGAGCACCTGCGATCACCCCGTCGGCCGGTTTTTTTGGTGGGGTTCGTGTTGCTCAGTCTTTTAGTTTCTATTTTGTGTGTTGTATCTTGTTATTTGTCTTTGGTCGTTTTTCTTTACTGACCATGCATGGCACTGTCAGATTGTTTTCGACTTATGGGTTTGAATATCCCTTTGGTATCTTTCGCCTCTCTTTGCCAAGGTACAAGATATTACAAAAGTAAATCATTAATGGTTCGTTTCATGGTACTAGATATTCAAATAACATAACAGTCATTCATAATTCCATTTTATGAAATCTGAAAAAAGACTACATATCTACACACAAATAATTATATGAAAAGAAAGTAATGTTTGATCGAGATCTTTTCAAGTATCTATTATATTCATGAATTTATTTCGCTGTTCTGCAATAAAGCATGACATGTCAATGCAGGAATACCAAACAGTAATATAATCAATCCCAAGAATGACATTGGAAACAAAATATGAATGACTGGTCTAGTATGACATGTTTGTATTGATAAGCACCAGACTCAACCTCAAGGGTGACTGGGGTAACCGAAATATGGCTACTCGGGTACTCCTGTTCGGAAGCTATGTCATATGTAAGGAGGACGCCAGTTTGTTTTTGCACCCAGCCACATCTGTTCAAAGTGGGGACGTTGGTTCAACGCGTAGTGTGCTAAGAGTAACACAACTCTCTCGACTCTAAAATCCCTTGAAAAAAATCCGTTGGAAGCTCGTTGAATGTGACTTAGTTCAAGGCAAATTTTCTGCAGATAACCAAATTCCCTGTTTTACTACTAGATCGTCCAATTTCCGCTGTGCTTTTCGGTCCAGCTATGTTGTAGAATCTACTTTATATTTGATGTCTGTCTAGATGTGAAGTGTTACACATTCAGGTTCTCATTTTTTTTTTAAAGTTTCACAGAAATTCATATTATGTTTTTATTTGGAAGATTGTTGAGAAACAAACAAACAGTATCTCAATCACTACAATCCTGCTTTTGTTATATGCGGGGTACAGATACAATCATGATTAAAATTGAAAGGTTCTTTATGTTTGTCAATAAATAACCAATTGTCATTCTAGTATTACAATTCTGAAAGAAAAATACTTCGATACCTTTGTTAGGGTTTTTTTCATCAAGTCCGTAGCTTATTCTGAAAATTTTAGTGAAAGCAGATTTAAACAAAACATTAAGTAATTTCCAATATGAAACTAAAATAGCTATAGATAATTGAGGCATGTGATTAACGTTTTTATTTTTTTTTCTTTTATTTCGAGATTTAATTTTTTGTTGTCAGCTTTTTCTTTCTTTTTTTTTTCTTTTTTTTTTTTTGAGAGAGAGATAATTTTAGAAAATACGTATTACTATATACTAGGAAATGTTAGCGTTGTTTTACAGTTAGAACAAAGTACAATGTATATGGTAATGTTGCAAAGGTTGACCTAAACTGCAATTGCAAAAAAGTCAAAACTTTTCCCTAAATGGGAAATGCATTTTTTTAATGGTTCCAAATATTTTCTACACTTTGTTAAATATGAATTAAATTTTCTGGATGTTTTTTAAAAACTTAAATTAATTATCATTCAATAAAAATAATTCCGACCCTGAGTTTCACAAGATCTTATTCTGAGTACCATCTTGGGGTGTCGGTAGAATGAGTACAAATAATTGTAACCTTATATTCCGGAAAAACAATATTAGAATTTCTACATGTCTTTCTTAATCATAAGAACATTAAGAAATTTAAATTGAAGTAAACTAACAGTTCCCACTAAGTCTTTTAATTTTCTGTGCTGGAAAATCAACAAGTTAAATTCCCAAAAGACAATACACATTAACACTTCAATAATTGATTTTACTTCTGTCTGTGCATATTTAATACCATAAAATTGATTTTTAAATGATATGATGTTGTGTCGTGTTGTGATTGGTGACAATGTGAAAAGACGTCATTTCTCTGTATTATAGTATTTATAATTACCATGATTACAGACATATTACCTAACATCAAGCATGCATGAGCGATATAATAGTTTCTTGAAAATAAAGAAATATGTTATGGCCCTTACTTTTGAATTAAAATACCGAAAATTTTAATAAAATAAAAAAAAATGTAATCGTATAAGATTACTGTATATCATAGTAGTATAATCTCTCATGCAGGAGGAGGGGTTGAGAGGGGGATTGACCACCATTACCGATTTTTGGGCAAGTTACCATGTAAATTATTAATGAAGAGGATGTTATGTATTAAAAACGGCCTATTTTCGGGACATTCAAAGTGTTTTGGCGTTAACAATGTATATCTCTTATTTTCTTTGCATTTCTATAATTTATCTTCTACAGGTCTTTCTTTTACTTACAACATTCTTTAGATGGCGACAATTTTATTTAAGGGGGTAGGATTTTTCGTGTGGACGGAATAGTCATCTTCTCCTGTTGTAAGACAGCCATATTTCTATCAAAAAGCTTATTAATTATCAGGTCTTACAAGCAAGTTCATTCATTTGCCAAAATCCTCTCTCCCCCCCCCCCCCCGGGAGGAAAACCTAATATGGTTATACCCTTACTATAAATATTCTGTTATTTTTACTTGGTATATTATATATTACATAAAAAAGAAATCATATTGAAATTAAAGTTGGGTAAACGAATGGAAACCAAAACGATTTTTAAACAGGTCATATTGAAACGAACATGTTTAACCCCGCCACATTCTATGTGTGTCTGTCCCAAGACAGGAGCCAATGATTCAGTAGCTATTGTTTGTTGCTGTCTGTCATATTTGTTTTTAGTTTATTGTTTGTCATAAATCAGGCCAATGTTTTTTTCCGTTTGAACTGTTTCACACATTTTGTCACCTTATTTTATATTCATAGTAAATGGGACAATTTTTATGTAGACAAATATAATTGTTAACTTAATGTTGACTGTGCAAAGATGCAGAAGAATATAACAATGTGCAATTAGCAACCATAAGTTGAAGAAAAACTGACAACAAAAAGGCAACACACAAAAGCCTACATATCTCTACACATAAAACTGTTAAGATTCAGATACAAAGAAAAACACCAAAAACTGGGGTGAACTGTTCAACTAGTGGCCTATGTCGTGTTGCAAGCAGGCGCGGATCCAGGATTTGACGTTAACGGGACACTCCTGAGAAATAGAAGTTATTGGACCATATGTTGACAAAAAACTAGCTGTTTATTTTATCTATATTTTTTAAAAACATTTTTAGGGTTGGCTGTATGCTCCCCCGTCTGATTCCGCGCCTGGTAAGAGGTGTGGATTTAAATGAAATGCGTTTTCTGTCAAGACACTCTCTGCAGTTTTTTTCATTTATTGAACATATCTACTTTAATTGTTTTATTGTATTACCTAATGTGACAAATAAGCAAACAGCCGTGTCTTTATACAAACGACTGTTAAGTTAAAGACAAAAAAAACCAATCATTTACATTTAATATGATATTGACAAACAAACCATGCTCACTTGTATTCGTACTTGATGATGTTATTTTTCTGAACAGGCAACAAACCGTACATTATTGATGTTTCAATATGAGACATCCGCGATATCGCGGAACGTCGATTATGCTTATTTTCTGTATTTCCATCGATAACGGCTGAAGTAAGTAATTATTTGAATATTATTGGAATTAGATGAATGCTTTTCGTCAAGCTTTGATGAGCGACTACAATTGATGCATCACGCGATGTTGCGAAAGACACAATTTACTGGCTTTCATATCAATCAACTGATATTGACGTTGCTACAACAGGGTATATATTCCAGAATGATGCATATTGTTCTTATCGTTTCAATTAATAGACCACTTTCGAGTTCATCCTTCACCGGAAAAAACTCGTCAATTATGCGCGCCTTTATGACGTCATTTACCAGATAGAGGGGATCGCCTGTATCCCTGCACTATTAACGTTCATCAAGCGTCTTAGTGATCGTCATTGTGCAGGATAAACTAGAAATAATGTTTGTTTTGTAAGTATTTAATCACAATTCCCTAATGACAGTCGTGCTGATTGTCAATTATGAGAATTTAATTTGCCGAATAATTCGTGCAATATAGCATTATAGTTTTCCAACCACTTGCTCAACATTGGAACGGAAGTGACGATGCCCCTAAACGCACGAATGATGTTCACTAAAACCAAAGTTTTTGACGGAAATGCATCGAACTCGAAAGATGTCTATTGCGTCAGGATTACAGTGCCTAGATTTTGTGAAGAAAATTAAAAGGATTTTTGTTTTATATAATTGTTTTTTGGGGCATATTTCTTTCACAGTGTACTGGCTTCTTTCGTTTGGGTTGAAATGAAATAGTAACAAGTCACAAGATTGGATTTGCAAAAAGGCAGGAATGCGATATTTGAAAGTTTCTCACATTTCTGAGGAAACTATTGCAAATAAGGATTGTAAAAATCGTGGCCTTGTAAAAAACACGGCCTTCGGCAATGAGCAAAACCCATACCGCATAGCAAGCTACTATAGGCCACGAAGTGATAAATGTCAAACAATTCAAAAGAGAAAACTAACTTTGATTTATGTAAAAACAAATATGATATACAGCAACAAGCGATAGACACTGAATTACAGGTTCCTGACTTGAGACAGGCACATATTGAATGTGGCGAGGTTAAACATGGTTGCGGGCTCTTAACCCTCCGCCTGATTTCATTCCATTCTATGATAGAAAATCAAAGAATATGGGGTATTCATCCATGACACAAAATCAGTACACGCACAGCAAAAAAAACATAAAAAAAAGCAACTAACAGTGCTTTTTTTGCTGTTCTTCATCTCAAAGTCACAGTAAGGCCTTCAACACGGAGCAAAAAAAAAACTCTCACCTCACTGCACGATTAAGACTGCTCCCACCCCCGGATTGAGCGGAATTCTTTGCAAATAATTTGAATAGACTTTGTAAGATGTAGCACCACTAAATCGGTCCTGGTAAAAAAAGAACATACTGGAAAGTAGAACATATTTAAAACAAAATAGTTCATACACATAGATGTAAATATTTAACTACCGGTATATAGAATATATTTTAGTAATTAATGTATGAGATGAAAGGTGAAGTACAGAAGCCGGTTAGTGTCATGGTGGAGTTTTATTTTAAGTCGTTATAACGACTTAGCTAACTTGTTATAACGACTTAGCTTATCTAACTCGTTATAACAACTTAGCTAACTTGTTTTAACAACTTATCTAACTCGTTATAACAACTTAGCTAACTCGTTAACTCCACCATGACACTAATCGGCTTCCGTAGTGAAGGACTTGTGAACTTGTGAACTTTGTACAACACATATGTATGTATATTATATTGATCTATATTGGTCAAGATCATTCGCACAGGCGGGGTTGGAAAAGGGGATTTTTAGACAAAGTGTCAAAGCATCTTTTTGATTTGAAATAGTCAAAAAGTTGGTTCGCTTGATCTCAGTTCTTCATTGGTCTAAAATTCAATTATGTTCCTGCTTCCCTCTGATAAATCCATTGTGACGTAACAAAAAGGCGACAATGCATGATGACGTCACACAGAAAGAGTTAAAATCTTTATCAAGAAAGACATTTTATGTACGTATTTATGCTGTTCGAGATTATCTTAGTCGGGTAGGAAAAGGCGGATTCTTTATTTCATATCTGCATTTTGGGACAAAAAAAACATGAAATTCATATTGTTCTCAAACGAACGTGTATAGGCTTTTTACTAAATATGTAACTACTTGGTATTTTCAAAATTGGCGTAAATAAATTTGTTTGTTTATAAATATTTCAGTAATTTCTCAAGTAAAGCGGTGTGTATAAACTCCAATTCAGTGTGATGACCATTGTAAATTAAAATATCACTTTATATTTTGTATGCGTCCTAAGCGCGTTTCTGCGTGGGAAAAGAAGGAATATTTTGAAGTTTTTTTTTGTGTTTTTGTTAAAACATTTAACAAAAATGCTTCCCTCCCAAACCTTTCCCATCTTCCCGATTACAGCATCTGTACTTTGAGAATTTTAATGTTTTGAATGGCATTATTACTATTACTTTTTAAATTTGAAAAAAAGGCAATGTATAAAATATTAATTTTATAGAAAATACTTATTATAATAACCAAAGGAACTATAATTTCTTCAATATAGCCTTGTTTCAAATTTCAGAAATAGCAGACATAATTGTTAATTAGATACATTGTAACTGCATAAACAGTCATCCTTTTGAGTATCCTCTGAATTTATTTTTTTCTTTATTTCCTCATGCACATATTAAAGTCTGAAAATATTCTAAGAAAAAAACATTAAGTCTTTTAATAAGTCAATGAAAAAAATATGAATCTATACTATCAATTAGTATTACATTTGTTAAACTTTAAGTTTTACTTATGAAAAATATTTTCAAAAGCATTGCAAAAACAGGGCATGATATTATGAATAATAACGTATGACTAGCAAAGGTCTAATGCTCTCACAAAATCTGATAATTCAATGTTATACATCACATGAATACGTTCTAAAATTGAATAGTTGGTTTAAATAAACAGAAAAGCAAAAACCAACAAAGAAACACATTATAACTGTAACAAGTATAAAATTCGATCGTTTTAGCAATGATTTTTAAGATTCTTTAAGCTTAACCACTTGATGGGTTATAAGCATGTTTTTAATAAACAAAAGCAGTTTTATCTACATGCAATATTTTACAAAGCTGTTTTAGGCTCATTAGCTTTAATTGATTATCCAGTAACCTTTTTGTCATCGTAATATCTGAGAGTAAATAAGAATTGAAATGTACAAATGTTTGTTCAGTGACACAAAAACACAATCATTCAATATTTACATAACACTCAAATCGATGATAATTGTTGAGGTGAACGTTTAATACAATGTTGTTAGCAGGTTTTATCGAATCGGCTTGTTCCATTTAGAAAAATGTAGTGTTACCTGAAAACACGTGTAAGCTGGTGCTTTTTATATCAATTGACTTTAGTGCGTGTGATTTTGTGTTACTAGGTAAATAATCTGCCAAAATCGCAAAGCAGCTCTAAAAGCTTAGATATATGCATTTCGATATTTATAACATACATTGTTTTATTTATTTTTGTTGAAACGAATATAATATATGTCGTTTTCCCATCGTAAGGTCTCCATCCTGTAATATTGCAGTATACCAAAAATACAAGCATCGTCTCAAAGTGTTCTTTGACATATTTTCAAAAGTTCTTGGTCATTTGAATAATATGTACAATGCAATTCTTCGATTTTATATTTTAAATATCAAATTACAACGATAAAGATGTGTTACGTTCTTGGAAAGATACCGTTTGGACGATCGTTACATGTAATTTGTCAATGATAGTCGCAAATTTATATTTTAGGGAAATTTTTCTGCTTTCCGTTAAAAAAGTACGTACATAAAAGTTATCTACCCTGCACACCCCAAAATAACACCTACCGTATTTTAAATTACAATTTTTGTTTGCAAAATGTTTAGCTATCGGACCCCTGTATAGAAGTATCTATATGAGTCATAAACAATGCCTGTATTCTCTGAAATACCTATATCTATAGTTCGGAGTGAATGTGACAAGTGTTTTGTACAATTTGTTAGGTTTGCTTTTTTAAAATTTGCTCTTCGTTAGCATTGTTTCAGTGAATATCATGTCTTTTTTGTTCTATTGTATATATTATGGTTGCTATCGAATATACAATCATGTCCCCCAAAACCATGGTATCACGATAGAGTTCTCGACTAAGGTGCGGGATGTCATCCCTGTGGTATTTGCTGCTTCTCGTCAGCCAAACAATGCGGGATTATGGAGCAATAACAGCAATGAATGATCGGCCCCGTTTAGGAAACAAATGTGACAGAGTAAAGTTGCTTATCTCCTTGAAAACATTAAGCATTTACGTTACAAATTCGATTCGGTGTGTCGGCCAAGTACACTGTGAGTTTATTTTCATATCTCCGTTACATGACATCGTCCTGTAGATTTACGTGATATTTGACGCTGGAATATATGGAAACATAGATCAATCAGTCGGTTGTTTTATTCATTTATGGATGGGTAAGACTTTTTGGTCCTTTATCGGTTTGTAAAGTACATTATTTTACTAAAATTCAAAATTTATAAAAAAAAATATGACCATGTCGCAATGAGATTAATTATGTTCTCACGGAAATCAACTAGTTATTAATTTTGGGATAAAAGATGTCATATTTTATATTAGTAGATTGCTGCTTATTTCGTTTTATTTTATATTAACTTTTATTTTAGTTGACTGTGCCCCTCCGGCAGAACTTTCACTTGATGTCAATCTTGTTTCTGCATTTGATGCTGTTGAAGTATACATTGGTGGTATGACAAAAATGGAGGTCAAAGTAGCATTTCCGGTAGGAACGACAAATGCCGTTAGTATAGAGCTTTTGCCATCTACAAACGTAACCATTATGGCATTAGGTGAAATAACAGTTACTGATGCAGATACAGCATATGTCACAAAGACTGGTTCCAGTGCAATAGTCCGGCACATTACTGATGAAACATTAGGAGTAAGTTTCAATATCATTTTCAAAGTGCTCTTCCGGGAATATCGAACATTTGTCGCTACGTAGAAAATTTTATGGTTTCCGCTACTTTTGATTGAATAAGATTTTCATTTGAAACTGAGACTATTTGCATTCAAATGGAGGGGATTAAAATATTGAAATATTTAGACAGAATGTTAAAATTGCTGCTGTGTATAATTTATAGATTTTAGTACAAATAAAAAAAAAATATGTACGTGTACAGTAAGACGTGAGACAGTAACCAAAACGAGTCCCCAATGTAATTTGATAAAATACTTTTGATATCTGTTTTAATAAACTTTTTTATATTTATGTAATGCCAGTTTAAAACGACCTATTATATAAAAAAAGGCAAACGATTACTGTGTTGCTTACAAGTAAAAGACGAAACATAATATCGAACTCAGTAATAATATATTTTCCCCCATCTTGAAATTCGGCTAGTCATACAAAACTCGTACAGTAAAACAACCTTCCATTACAAATTTGCAATTCTAAAAGAAGCACATCAAGTACAAAAAATATTTGTTGAACTTCGTCTGGCGCTTGTGCATATTTTTAAGTCTTCGGATAGAAATTGAAATGCTCTTAATTTAAGAGTAAGCTTGTCACATTATTGTTTTTTTGGAAACATTTGCTTTCTTCAATAATTGGAAAGAGGTATGGCCAAAATCTACTAAAGATTTTTTCGCTCACATGGTCAAAATTTTAAAGTTGATGAAATGTAGTGGGGTTTGACATTCGGAACAAAGTGAACTCATTTATATAACTGAACGGCATCTCATAACTTTAATTCAAATAGCACTTTTGGCAATGGTAAGAAATTATCTTCATGTTCATGTTTTGGAAAAAAAACCACACACATTGCCAAAATCCTATAAAAATTGCAGTTTATAATTAGTTTTAAATATTTCTATTATTCACAGTTTCCGAAATATTTTTTGTTAGAATCTAATAGTAAACACAAGAAACTATGATACTGTAAATTTTTCAAGATTTCAAAACCTTATAAATGGCTCTGGTGGGAAATAATTTCAGAAAAAATAGTCCAATCTCTTAAAACAAATTGTTGAGGATTTCCCATGGAATATAAAATCCGATTGAAGAAAATTCGTAAACAAATGAATAAAGGCGCTTGGGCCATAGATCCATTTTTTTCTTTTCCATTTCTTTTATTTTTTTTTATTTATTTTTTTTTTGAGAAAGAGGAGAGGTATTTTTTTGGGGATAAATTTCATTTAATATTTCAACTTATTTTCCCTTATTTAATTTATTCTTGCTTTTATCCATACACACATACAATAACAGTAGTTATATGTGCTGTCCCTCTATTCTTATTTTCAACATAATTGTACGAGTAGAGCGGCAGAAGGTATAAACTACTGTCATTGCAAGATTGTATGGATAGTCGAGAACAAGTACACATTAAATAAGGAAAAATAAGTTGACAGATTAAAGAAAATTTGCTAAAATCGTATACAATCAATATAAAAAAGAAAGGGAGTACATGCCCCAAACCGAGTATAACGTATTTCCTATAAAAGTATTGAACATTTTTCCCTAAAAATAATCGATATCATAGAAAATAAATCCAATCAATACAAATGATTCCTTTCTACTTCAAGATGAAAACTTTGTGTTTTCAAGTAAAACTTGAATTTAAATCCATCAGACATTTTCTTTTCCTTGGGATTGAATTTGATATTCCTATTGTAGAACAGAATTTCATTTAAATACTAAAAAATATTCATGATTATTTTTCAGCAAAATGTACAACTGTCGACTCGTGCTGTGATTGATTTAGGAGACGTTACTGGCATTAACAATGGTGGAAATGAGGCCGACTATACTTATATAATCCAGTTTGAATCGTTTGTTGTGTCAACAGACGGACTGACGGACAATGAGACACACTGGGTCAGTGCAGGCGTTGAGTATGACAACAGTAATAGTATCTGGGTAGGACAGATTGCCCACTACATCAGAACCGCAACACTGGTTTGTTGAAATACATCGTTGTCAACTAAAGAATATTTATAATTTATGTCCGTCATTTATGCGTTAACGAGTTTTGTTGCTATTTGGATATTTTACTAAATAGACCGCTTTCTTGTAAATTTTGATTTTTGCGGCATGGAAAGGGTCAGTGCTGCGAGGAATGACTATCATTCGAATTTTTTGTTTATCAAAGTTTGAGAAGATTTTATATTTAAACTCTCTTTATAAATAATAAAATAATTTTTTTTTATTCATTTACTGTTATATTTTATTTCAAAACAATTGTAAATCTTCATGCAATCGATTTTGAATCTGCGACGATACATCAATAATATTTTCAGAAAAATACCATATATTAAAAACTTTTCTTTCTCAGGACAATGGGAAGTCAGCAACCTTTTCCATGGAAAATGTGACAGAAATAAAGAGAATGTCTTTAACCCCAGTTGCATTTGAGGCGTGGGTACCATACCCGAACTCATTTATAGCAGTCGAAGCTATATCACTGTCAACAACGAACGACCATCTCCGTGTTGTGTCATTGAAATGTATTGTAAGCGGAGCAACGACCAATTACGAATTCTACGACACTACTAGCACCACAACATTCTTGAACTATCCTCTGCTTCAGGCTTATGGAGCCGACTGCACAGCAGATCCAGGTGGAGCACGAAGACTCAGAGTACAGCTTGGAAATATACCGAACAGGGGTAAAAACCTATATCACGCATTTTATCTGATTATTTTTTAGAAATCTATCTTGGGTTAAATTTGAATAGAAAATCGTAGTATCTCTTCGTTACATAGTTAAAAAGAGTATACGTAAAGTAACGCATATAGGCGGTCGACAGTATTTACATACCCGGACGTATATAAAAATAAATATATGTAGTACGTATACCTTTGAGCATGCTGAGACATCTGTATGAATCAAAGACTAAATACCGATGATATAAACAACTACAAAATAGTTTTGATTTTAAAGGTAACCCTATTGAATAGATAAGTAAACAAACAAAAAGTTATCATTTTTGTTGTTGCCTTTTAAAGCCATGCAGATATTTGAACTACATATGCACTTATCAGTGTTTATCTGAGAAAAGTAATTTTCGAGAGGTAATTAATGTAGTCAAAAATTATTCAGGTGAATTTTTTGATTTTTATTGGTATGTTTGATCTCTAACACAGATTCAACTGTATATGTTTTTTTACGTCTGCATCTGCGGTGAGTCAGTGACTACATTTTAAAGGAATGATGATCGATATTTCAACCTACAGTATTTATACGCCCACAAATGAGGAATTTTCGTAATTGCTTTGGACATCCAACTGATTTTTATTCGAGCGCCACTGATGAGTTTTATGTAGACGCCTTCTGTTTTAAATTGTAAGCATCGAACCGTTGATGAGTATTTTGCTAGTACATTCCGCGATAACCAAGTTTGAGCAAATAAAAAAAAACTGCAGTGTGCATAATTTTGATATTTAAGAATTGAAAGCAGTCTGTATAATTACATTTTTATGCATTTTGATAATTACATGTTTATGCTACAACCATGAAATTACGAGTTTATCAAGCTAATCGTTTGTTAACCTGTGCATTGTTTTGACATTGTCATGGGAACCACAAGAAGTCATGAATGTTGCATTTTATAGGGAAAAAATTGCTTAATCTCTCGATTGTTGTCTGCCATTAAAAATTACGGATTCTAATGAAACATACATGTAATGTAATTATTCATCAATTATTCGTGTCAAAGATGAACGTTTTTTCTACAAGGTTTTTATGCGGGACTTAAAATTACTATTATAATTTGTAAGAGAATTCATTCCGATATTCTTAGACTGAAAGATTTTTACAAAGTTATTTCAGTTTGTTACTAAATAGAAAAATCCTTTTGCAAGAGCGTTTCTACAAGATAAAATTGAGAATGGAAATGGGGAATGTATCAAAGAGACAACAACCCGACCATAGAGCAGACAACAGCCGAAGGCCACAATGGGTCTTCAATGCAGCGAGAAACTCCCGCACCCGGAGGCGTCCTACAGCTGGCCCCTAAACAAATATGTATACTAGTTTAGTGATAATGGACGTCATACTAAACTCCAAATTATACACAAGAAACTAAAATTAAAAATGATCCAAGACTAACAAAGGCCAGAGGCTCCTGACTTGGGACAGACGCAAAAATGCGGCGGGGTTAAACATGTTTTTTGAGATCTCAACCCTCCCCCTATACCTCTAGCCAATGTAGAAAAAACAAGAGAGACTTTCGTTTGTTTTATTCGTTATATGTACACAAAATCAAAATCATAAAATAGACAATTCAGATATTGCAGACGTTGAACCAGAACAAATCACATCTTTTTTTGAGTTTTTATCTTATATATCGTTTAGGATCACGATTACCTGCCGCAGCTGGTGAAGTAGATAAAATAAAATTTGAAGCAATGGTACACATGAAATCAACCGCTATCCTGTCAGATGAATATCCATTTGGCGTTGGAGTAGAGATAGACGGATCTGAGGTCTGGGTAGCAACAATGAACGTCACTGCCATTCAAGAAGACCCGGTTTGTATTACATAAACAATGCATGTTATATCTGATAATTAAAACTAAGGAGCCAGCAACTCATAAATCATACTTTATGTATGCACAGAATTAAAGCACTGTGAATTCAGTATTGTTCGTTGGATACCCATTTTGATGGATTTCGTGGGTAAAGGTAATGCAAGAATATAAGTGTTCAAATGTAATATAGGCTTGTATGAAGACTTGGGCAAAACCACGAAATCGAATATCCACAAAACAACATTTTTTTTATCAACCCATGAAAGTTGGTACCACGAAAATAAATGAATCAACAGTACACTAAATAGGTTACTAGTATACGTTTCCATTCTCTATTCTACGTATATAAGAGAGTTCTTTTAAATGTTCGTAAACTTCTACCTCATTCTTTTTTGATTTTACATAAAACAGAAGTTTGCTTTTTATACCTTTTTTAATTGTTTCAATTATACCTGAGCTGTCTATGTGAGTCAGATCACAAAACCAGAAGTCAGACGGCGAGACAGGATTGAAATAACATAAATATGTATTTAGCAACTACTTGTATCCAGACGCATAAAGCATTATACTCCAATATATATCTATAAAGGCTTGAATCGATTACAGTGTACTGTGATTATACATATTGTTATATACCTGTATATGCATGCAACTATTTTTGCATTGCAGTCAAATAAAGTAGTAATCAAATTAAGGGAGTAAAAGAGAGAGGGGGGAATCTTAAACATCTGTACGTAAATAGTATTATTCTTTTATATTGCTAAAGCTATAAAAATATAGATGGTTAATGACAATGTGCAATGTAGGAATCGGAATTTAAAAAAATAGATTAAGGTAGTGGTGATAGATTTTTAATATATAATCAACCAACATACGAGGTTAAGACAAATTGGTAGTTGAACAATTGGCAATAGTATGTTTGTGTATAAACTCTTCTTAAACAATGGATAAAGGAATAACAAAGTGATGCACATAAGAATGCCAGTCCTAGAATGTAAACATGGTGCTTATTTCCAACAAAAACAGCAAGAACATTAAAACAATTCAAAAACTCCCTAAAAGCAAAAGAATGTAATCAATTTCAAACGTGAAATATCATATTTCTACATATATCTTGAATGCCAATTCTTCAAGTAATATAATAAAAACTGGTACACTAAATCTACCAATACATCTTTTGAGATTTTAAAGATCATCCAGTTTATGTATAAAAAGATAATGCATTAATTCCTACCACTATCAGTTTTCATTCACCTACTATAATGCCTGAAATTATTGTTGACACAGACGTTGCGCACGATGTTGGTATTACTTAGCGTTTCACGACGTTCCTCAAAATAAGGCGATTTCGACGATTTCAAAGAAAGTTTCAGGCGTTCAAGCATATTATTGATGATGTCAATTTACTGTTGTGAATTTGGTAACCGATTTCGGTTTGTCTGAAAAAATGCATAAATTTACAAATAAAACTCAAAGTGGTCGTATAGATATTTTTTTAATGAAATTCATTTACAGGAGTTGTCAGTCTTTCCAGGCCATAATTGATAATTTTCCTTTCGGCAGCAGTTCGCATTAATGAATCCGATACAATAATGTCGAAATTTACACAGATTTATTTTTAATATAAATTAGATTTTGAATTCATATTCTCCTATTTTTTGCATATTTATTCCTTTTGTTGCATTTCTTCCCGTTTCCGTTTCCTATCTATATTTTATCATTTCCCGATGCTTTCTTTTTCGCAAAACATTTAGGAAGTTAAACATTCGGGACTCATGTTTTAAATTTTCTCATTTCCGTATTTTTGTGGCATATCCTTTGTTTGTTATAATTGCCAGCAATTGGTTTTCTCTATTTTATTTTATTAACAAAAAAATATACATGTTACTTTTGACGATTTAAAACTTGCAGATAGACAATGTTCCTTAAATAAAACAAATATGCTATAAAAAAATCCCTAAGATCCCGATATTTTTTTTTATATCGATCTCATTTGGTCAACATTTGAATTTTAACTTAAACTATTCCTTTCTCATACATTGGTTGTATTGTAATTTATACATGTATTTTTATTTTTATTCGAATTAAACTGGAAACAAATAATTACGATATAAAATTAAAAACCAGAGCATGACATCAATTACGTTTTGCGAACGTTGGGACAAAACGGCTATACTTTTTGAAACGATCTAAAAACCTTGTTGCCTAACGAAAAAATATTAAACACTATATTGTTTAAGAAGAAAAACAGAAAAACCTTTACCGCCAAGTTTTATTTTTTATGATCTAACTATGCTTATTTGAAAGACAGCTGGTTAAAACCTCAATTTTAAAGAAAATACAGCGTTTTTTTCGTTGGGACAAGATGGCTATACTTTTTGAAGTCATTGCAATAGAAACTATACGCATGGTTTCCGGCAAAAAAATATCATGAACCAGGAGAAGAGTAAAAAAACTTTCAAAATATAATAAATATTTTTCTCTCAGCTTTTTCAATTTCACGGTATAAATGCGCAAACCCGAAATATACTTACTTTGCATACGGTTGGACATTTTTCAGACCGTTTACAAAAATAACATTTTCCGGATTAAGGTTTCAGTGATATTGATTTTGCTTTAACACGCGAATAATTATAACGATAGCAATATTATTGTGAAGTTGTACGATGGTCAGAGAAAAAATACCGTAGGAGAGAAACGGAACTCTGATCTTTTGCACACAAAATGAAACGTTGGACATTACGTTTTTGCGTAAAAATGGGATAATTAAGTGTTATAATTCCTGGTGTTTTAAATTTTGGTTCCTTTTTTTCTTTAATTTCAAGTCTAATGGAATGAATTCAATCAGAAATCACTATATTTTTATCGAACTGACCAGTCTACGTATTTATTTTTATGCTAATCTATAGCAAAATGGAATTGGTACCAACATCGTGCGCAACGTCACAATGTATTTACACTTTAAGAAGATCTTAATAAAAATAAGGAGATGTGGTATAATTGCTAATCAGAAACATCCACCAAATGACGTGACTGTAAGCAATTATAGGTCACCGTATGACCTTCAACAATGAGCAAAAAGCATGCAGTATATTCAGCTTTAACCAACGCCCTGATTACTGTTATAACAATAAACGAAAAACAGATATGACAGACAGCAACCATTGAATATTTTTTGAATTACAGGATCCTGACTTCGAACAGGCATATAATGAATTTGTCGGGGTTAAACATGTTTGTCAGCGCTCAACCCTTTCCCTAACTTAGGGAAATGCTGTAACAGCATAACATTGTGTTTTCTGTCTTCAAAACTAATGTTATATTGTATATCTATCTGCAGATTGATTTCCCTCTAGACAGCTTTACAGCTGTTGGCGGCACAACAAAGAGTGTCGGAGAGGGTTTTCTCGCTACGGCTTCTGTAACCTTTGAACAGAGAGGACTTGTTTCAGTTATTTATAAAGTTCAGTCGTCCAAAAATGGGGGAGGAACATCCGGTATTATGATATCACAGGCATATGTTGAAAGTTCTGGGACAAACGTTGAATGCGGTTCTGTCACAACAACATACGATTCATCTGAAGTAAATGGAATTGTGGACATTGCATATGTAAACATTACAGCAGCTAATCATGGAGCTAATTCAAGTGACCCGAATGAAGACAAGATAAATATCAATGTCGCCATGGTCGGAGGTATTGGCTACGCAGTAGACGGTGGTGTTTACGACGTCGACATATCTATACATGATCCAAACGCTGGAGGGCATACAAGTAAACTAACTTACACTATGAGCGGAACTGTTACATATGACGTGAGTAATATCAAATCTCCCCTTTATTATAAAAATAGGAGAATTCATTTGTTAATGTAGGAAATATTTTAAAAAAAGACGACATGAACTAGGTATTCAGGAAATTAAAATCTTAGGAACCATCTATCGTTTTTCGAAGTAGAAAATGGGCGAGCTTTGATTTTGAGTATGGAAATACTTTATTTTTCTAGACTGTATCTTCTGTTAATGTCTGTTCTCCTTGTGTCTTCTGTTAATGTCTGTTCTCCTTGTGTCTTCTGTTAATGTCTGTTCTCCTTCTAGACACCATAATGAAAGAAGTAATTAAAGTAATGCAACTATTCTGAAAGTTTTTAACTAAACTCTCTTTTTACACCTTACACTAATGAAATGGTTGGTGCCTAACTTGCCTTATTTGAAATGAATACAAAACAAAAATAGTTATCTTCGAAAGATAAATCCTTAACTTTATATATCAAACGGTAGTACTTTAATTTGTGTGTTATTTACAGACCAACACTAACCACACTTTTGAATTGACGAGCGATTGTGGCGAGAACCAGGTCATCACGGAAGGTTCAACCTTTGACCTACTATTGACAATCACCACAGAAAGAGGGTCGAATCCAGAAAGCCTACAAATTGAGTTTCCTATTCCAGCTAATGTTACTGATGGAACGTTTGCTGTCTGTGGAATTGAAGTAGTAAAGATGGGGAAGAACTTGGTATGCTTCAATCCTGTCCAGCTTGTTGATAGTGCCAATAAAACAACGTATGTTACTAGAGCTCTTAGCTAAAAAAAATATCATAGAAATGGCGTGTTTAATCTTTTAAATCAAACCTTTTATTTTAATAACTAATTTCACAGGAAAAATAAATACTTTGTTTCAAAAAAAAAAAAAGAAAAAAAACTAATTGATTTAAATTGAAAGTTACGGACGAAACAAATAACGACACTGAGCTTAAAAAATATTGTTCATGTATGTGCATGGAAAAAACCCAATCCCCTTCAATGAAAAAAAAAACCGACACACACTCAGAAAAGTCGGTGCATAATCATGAATTCATGAATACGTTTCTGTTGCCAAGGTTTCTTTGCAAGTATAGTAGTTAGCAGAAAAGTTACATTTTCCAAGATAATATTTTTCAAAACCTAGTCCGATTGCCAAGTCCGTCAGGTGAACGTCCATGCTATAATTCAATTTTTTTCTAGCTTTCCGACTAGACCTGTTCATTTGTAAATATATTACTGTAACAAATAATTATTTTTTTATGTTGAATTGAATTTTACCTATTTCATAAAGTAAATGCAAATTGCACAAGGCTTGGTCCAAATAGCTTTTTACTGTCCAATATCTTGCAAGTACGAAAAAGACCGAACGAAAGTATACTTTGTCTGTTTTTGTAATTGCACAACGATTGAAAGTTTACCATGTATTTGTTTTAAAGATAAAAGTTGAAAGTCACTCAGTGAAAAAAATAGACGACCGCGATCTTAAATCGCTTTGAAGTCCGAAAAAAGTAATAGCTAACATATATAGATATAAGAAGATGTGGTATGAGTGCCAATGAGACAACTCTCCATCCAAGTAAAAATTCATAAAAGTAAACCATTATAGGTCAAAGTACAGTCTTCAACACGGAGCCTTGGCTCACACCGAACAGCAAGCTATAAAGGGCCCCAAAAATTACTAGTGTAAAACCATTCAAACGGGAAAACCAACGGTCTAATCTATATAAAAAACGAGAAACGAGAAACACTTATGAACCACATCAACAAACGACAACTACTGAACATCATATTCCTGACTTAGGACAGTTGCAAACAATTGCAGCGGGTTTAAACGTTTTAATGGTACCAAACCTTCACCCTTATCTGAAACAATAATGTAACATCACAACATAGAAAGACACACATGTCTATTATAAATACGACGTGATAAGTGAGCGTTACAAACAAACGTTCACTTAATCTGACCCAGTCAAATGATGACCTGTGCGCGTCAAGAAATGGTCGCGTCCACACTGTTATTAATTCGATAGTATAAACACATCGATTGTGAGTGAACTTATGAAATATGTGACCTATAGTTGTAAACTTATATGTCTGTTGGTATCTGGTAGAGAGTTGTCTCATTGGCGATCATACCACATCTTTTTATTTTATAATTTGTTTGAATTTTACTTTCAGTCTTAGTGATGGTACTTATGAGTATGTTGCTATGAACATGCAGCCTGCATGTAATATGCTCATATTTGACGACGAAGAAGAAGATAAATTGGTACTGCGAATCAAGTCAAGATTTAAGGAAGGAGTTAATATAACAAGATTAGAGGAATATTGGTTCGGAATTGGTTCTAAGTACACATCCACACAAATATGGGTAGCTCAGTATCCGCTCTATGGACAGCCTATAGTATGTTAATTTCTTGATAACATGTAATATACTGCAATATTTTGGTTTTGTTTCTTAGTTGAAGATTTGGTAAAAATCATTCTTAAAATAGATCATATTTTAAAATTTTTGAAAATGAGTTTATCACACTGTTTATGTATATTTTAGATTGCATCAAACGCGATCTCTTAAAATTTTTTTTTTAACCAAAAACTTAACTTATCATATATTTTCACATAGTACGACTTTGAGGGTCCAGCTATCATCACGCATGTTAACATTCTGAACAATATCAACGACAACTCCACATTCCCAGGAAATTACTCCATCTCAAGAAGTTTTGACGGTACTAGCTTCGATACACTTCCAATTGAGGTAAGTAAAATTGACAATTTCTCGTGGAAATATTGACTGATTGCTGATTCTGAACGTTATTATCTAAACATCCGTCTAAGTGGCGGAATAGAAATCCGTGATGGTCGGAGAGAACCACCAACGTTAGACAGCTGAATGACAAACTCTGACCTCTTTAACATAAAGTGCATTACATTATACGAAATATTCGTGTATTGTGTCTTTATTTAGAGGAAGAGAAAATGCCACAGCCATTGCATACTAATGATATAATTGCTTACATCTACTTCATTTGAACTTTGGTGGATAGTTGTCTCATTGGCAATCATACCATATCTCCTTATTTTTATAAGTAAGCTCAAACGATAGCATGTGAAGACGAAATTTATTTCCATCCAAATGTCATCATAGAGATTCCGCTTTAGAATTTCACTAAAAGGGAGAGCTTGTGTATATACATGTAACCGGAGAGCACGATTCTGATTTTAAAATCACATTGCATTCTCCTGGAGTCGAATCCGGGTCCTCAGTGTTCAAAGTGGACGCTCTTACCCACTGAGCCAAAGAGGTACTGCACTAGCTCAACAGATTAAGGCTATCTAAGTATTTACTACTATTGGGGATTGGGGATAGTCAGGACCATAACAATATACACTAAATCCAATCGATAGGTTATACAAAATGGAATAAAAAGAAAAGACTTCATAACTACAACTAAACAATAATGGTACATTTGATAGGTTAAAAAATTGCAGGAGGGCCCTTGCAGAACCTTCAAACTGATGTTCCAATCATTCTTTAACGTACAGTGAGCGGGACACTTACCTGCACGAGACATGGGATTAACATTTCCTTTATAAACGGACGTAGCAGCGTATTTGTACATTCGTCACAACCAAACGGACCTCCCCACCCCACCCCACCGCACCCACATTACAAAAGTTGTAATACCGGATTGGATAGGTCCAAATTATCATATATCTTTACCACACAGTCAATCCGTAGCGTGTTTGTGACAATAGAAAAAGTCAAACACTTGTGTTTTCTTAAAATAATTCCTTTTATAATTCGCGTGAATTTCGCCTATTTCTGCCAGTCATGGGAAAATACACGTACATTTGTAATTTTTTAAATATTTAATGAAAAAGCTTTTTGTCCCATTTGTAGGTTAATGCACCAGTGGACAATGGAACTCATTCTATATATACATTACAAAGCCCATTGATGGCAAAAAAGGCAGGTCTAATGACAGAAAACTGTAATTCCATGTGTGGCGTTGATTACGACTTTACTTATGTTTCACGTGAGTAATCTGTTTAGGCTAATAACAATAATAGTAAAGGAAAATATTCTAGATGTATCGATATATGAACAGTTTTCTAATTCACTTGTCTTTTTCATTAATACATGTTGTCTTTAGACAAGTTTAGTTTCATTTTCTTCTTATGTTTATAATTGAAATGCCCTCACGGATCCTTTGATTAGAACAGAAACATATTTGATTAGATTTGTAGGTCATGCATGATCTTTCTTGCATAATTATGACATCTACTTGGCAACACAACTAACCTAATTTTAAAGGATTAAAATATGCATTATTTCTTTATTACAAAGGTGATCTGTATCAATAGTATTGGTATGTCAACATCGGGCCATACAATGTAAATTGGAACTTGTTTAATGAGAGGCAGTAGAATAAGGGGGAAGGGGGGGGGGGGGGGGTTCGGCCATAAGATGCTGGTTAATTTTTCATGCTATATCCTGCTTATATATCTTTTACCGAGATATTTTGACTTCACTAGTAAACCAATTTTGAACTGAAACGGTAATTTCGATCTGAACAACTTTTAACAGACGGAACAATAAATTGTTAAGTCATTTTCAATCTTTCTGTTGATTTTAAGACTAAGTGTTTGTTTTAAAGATACAGTTTCAAAACTGTAAATTAAAAGTGCACTATATAATTGATATCACATTCTATTGTTTGACTTTTTAAGTTAGGTGACAATATTTTGAAAAATGTTTGTTTTTATTTTCACGATTTTGTCAACGTCATTATTTCCTTCTTATTTGAGATATACTTTATCTATTAAACAGGCCATTAAAATGCTATTCGGTAATTTCTAGGTACTCAAGAAAAGTTGTAGCTAGTATTCTAGTTTGGACATGAGCTTCCACAAAAGCATTGTTTTCAGATTGAAGTTCGTTCTATAAAGTTACTATGAGTTACTACTGCGACCACTATTATTTAAAAATTCGGCAAAGAATATGATGTAGGACTGTATGTTGGGTTGTTATGAAATTGAACGCATTGAGATGATAGTTATATTTGGACATTTCCGTTTTTTATTTTTTTTGTTGCCTTTGGATGATCTTACTAAGTATAAATATTTGTAACCTAAGAAAAGAGCGTGCGCGGTGGTTTCCTATGTTTTCATGTATGAAATATACGAAACAGTGAGCTACTGGGTAGAATGTGAAATAATCACGTGTGCGTTTACAAAATTTCAGGAGTTTTGGCTTTTAGATTAGTGCTACCTGTGTAAAGATAATTATGCATGATTGGTAACCAGGCAAAATCTAATTACTAAAATAAAGAGTTCAAATCCGACACTGTATGGGATTAAAAGACAGTTAATAGGTTTCGAATTGTCTCAACCAATCAATGAACTTAACTATTATAGAGTCAGTAATATCTTCAAATCAGGTAGTAAGAAAACATTCAGCCCGCAGACTTTTCATCGTTCAACTCTTAATACCGTTTCCGAGGAGACGATAATCAAGACCCTTGTCTAGTGTTTTAACAGTCAAGGTAACTGTATTAGTTTGTGATGTCCATCGAGTTTCCGCTATAGTGTTGACAGGTACCGATTTCCCTGGTCGAATAAGCATTCTTCTCGATCATTCATCAACTAAACGTAAACGTCGATTTTGCCTTTATCTTTCATTACAAATTTCATTATAGTTTTACGCTTGCTAGCCGACGTATGGTGATGTTAAGTAGAATTGCTAATGAAATTCTAACAATAACAAGATTTAGGCTATGCGACCGACAGTTTGCAAAAAAGATACTTCCAATGCTTTGAAATAAAAGGAAGGCATTTAAAAATTCCCAAGGAAAAACCACTATGTAGTGGAGAATGAAAGTCTTGAATAATTCTCGTCTTGACAAGCGCGGCTTTCAATCTGCCTTAGCTCAGGTATTGTTATAATAAAAATACCATGTGACAGGACATTTGTGGATTGTTAACACAAATGCAGACAGTTGTTTGCAAGAATGACTAATAAAATTCGACGATGGGTTTTCGATTTGACATGTTTAAGAGTTCACGGACACAATCGCTGTTTTACGGCACTTTTTGTTTCTTTTCTATCTTCTATTTTTATTTCATTTTTGGTACGGCACACAATAAAAGGCAAATACCTACATACCTCCACATAATTTACAGCCATGTAAAAATACTATTTTATTTTTGTCAAGTTTTATATATACAAAAACCTTTGAAAATCGTTTTATCTTATCTTTTTATGACACCAGTCAAAGACTATATTGACATATTTGGAGACGACAGCGAGCAATTGATAAACGATATGGTGAATGTTTTTGACAACTCTTCTAGTACATGCATGAATCTTCCTGTACAGGGAAACACTCCTCCAGTCTTTTGGGCCAGGATCAATACCACCATCCTAAACATCGACCTACAGAGTTTTACAATTACTGTAGAGGGCGATGGAATATCATGTGTTCGTCATGGAGCAGACAAGGTCCTGCAGGTATCAGTAAGTTTCTTTTGTGCACTTCTATTCTTTCTTTTATAAACTATTTATAGTTTATATGTTTAGTATTCTTATACCAATAGTGTCGTTTCACGACTGATTAGATACCGTATATAGATAATCAAGGTACTAGTTATACTCAGATATAAACAAAACATCTTGTCAAACAATGTACTTAAGCCCTTTTTAGCCCAGAAGGATAGTGCAAGCTTTTTATTTTCACTTTGTGTTTGCCGTACGTAGATCGTGCGTAGGGGATTTTTTCCTTTTCCTTTTTCTTTTAAACTAAAGGTTCAAATTAGCCACAGTAGTTTTAGAAGTGTTGCAAGTGATAACACTGCAGATGACCATTTTATTATTACTGTCCTTGTAAAAATTAGGTTTAGATTTAGATGTTAATAAATAATTGTGAATGAAAATAGATGTGGGGTTTCATTAATCGGGTAGAAATTCAACGATACAAAAATAGCGTTGCAAAATAAAATTTTCACTTGTTTTCTTATTTCCTTTATGATAATTTGACAAGAGATTGAATTTTCCTTTTTAAAGTGCCCTAATAACAAACTGTTTGCTAGTCAGTACATTGTTGCTATGAGTGATACAGTTCATTCAGAATGAAAGAATTAGGAGTTATAGTTTAGTTTGATGAAACGTTTTGTACAAATAACTGCAAATTAGTAATTGCTCAACTGTAGTGTAGATGTATAGTTTTCTTGTGTCAACATCCTGTGAAAATTTTCTTTCACATTCCTTCTTAATATATATATTGTAATACAATTTTATATTTTACTAACATGTTCCTTGGTTCACAAATCTTTAGAATTATACACAACCTCCTTCCTCTACAGAAATAAACACCTGCACAACTCCTGCATGTCTGCATATCCAGAGTCAATTTGTTTCTTCTCACTTTTCCACGTTTCATTGTTAAATGGACTTATTTTTTTTCACAGTTAAAATTTAGAAACAGTCTAAGGTTTAAGTTTTTGAAACATCAACAACTCTGTCAAACCTTCATGGAATTTCATGAAACTTAAGACAAAAGCTTTATTATGATCAAAACACAGTATCCACAGCAAATTTTTGAAAATATTTGTTTTCATTCTTCGGTATTGAACTGATAAATGAACATAGTATTTTCTCTAGTTAACATTGAAATACAATCTGGGGTTTAGGTTTTTCCGACATTGATTACTTTGTCAAACCTTTGTGGAACTTTATGAAACTTGAACAGTAAAATTTAAATTGTTTTTGGCCGTATTGTACAAATAAAAAGGACCTAGTGTTGTACAGTTAACATTTAGATACATTCTGGTGTTTAAGTGTTTTCTGACATTACTTTGTTAAACCTTCATAGAATTTTATGAAACTTTGGCTAAGGTCTTTTATGATTGACAGATAATGTCCGTATCTAAATTTTGAAAATATATTTTTTTCTTTTTCTATATTTAACTGATAAGTGGAATTGGTTTATCTTTGCAATTAACATTTACAAAAATATCGGATTACATTGTTTTACATCAATACATTTGTTATACCTTAACGGAATGTTTAGAAACTTGAAAATAAACTTCTCCAAGATTAAGAAATAGCATCTGAAGAAAAACGTTTGATTTTCTTTAGTTTCCCTGATTTGTTTATAAATGTACGTAGTTTTTGGCGGTCAACATTTCACTTTTACTTTGACAGCAGAATAGCAGGCGAGACACAGGGTTCAGCAAAAACCATTTACGAATTATTTTTTATACGGTGACAGTGTAGTTGGTAAAAAAAAAAGGATAAAAAGTCTGAGACTAGTCACTGTAAGCAAATAAGTCATTGTGTTCCTTTTGGATTAAAGATTACAGAAGATTTATATTGTACATATAAGAAATCAAATTTGAAAATTAAAAAAAAATCATTTCATTAATTCAAAAACAATATTCCATAATTTTAAATATGCCTTTAGTAAATGTATCTCCATTGTGTGAGTATAGGGTCCCGGTGTCTAGTTTCCATGGATAAGTAGCTATCCAAATAGTAGATTAGGAATGTTATGGTTTAAAAGCGAGTTATGATTGAGACATTTGAAGAGTAGATGAAAGACCTTGTATGTTAAATAAAAATAACAGGTTGTCGTTTATAAAATAATTCTGCCATTATTCAGTTTCGAAATTTATCTGATACATATGCAACTGGAATATCCCAATAACTCTAACGGTACCAAGTTTTTGCACCAGATGCGCATTTTTGCAATAAATGTACCTTAACTGATGCTCGAGGCCAAACTATTTAAAAATCCAAAACTTATTTAAAAAAATAAAGAGCTTATATACCAAATACGACCAACAGTTTAGCCAACAACGCGATCAAGGAATCAGAAGGAGATATATTCCTTAATCTAAAATAATTTCACAAATTTTGTAACAACAAGTTTTAATAACACAATATCCGTATTTTCATGCCAGTTACGAAGCACTGGCTACTGGGCTGACCAATTATTTTTTTCTTACGACTGAAGCCATGATTGTTTATATTCAGATTTCTTACCCTGTGACATCTTCTGTGGGTCGCTTCCATGGTGATGTTAAATTCTGCAAGAATACAAGTAGCACCACTGGTTCGCCTAACACATGTACATACACTTGTATGTGTCCAAATACGGCTGAGTGCTCCGAGATCATCATATTTCTTGCAAATACTAACAGTGGAGGACTTGGACCGTCATGGAGTCTGTGTGGACTGACTGCAGAAAACATATAATGATTGAAGGAGACAAGGAAAAAGGAATGATACAATTTTTTTCAAGAATGATGAAAAACTTTTAATTGAAATTTGAAAGAAAAGATTTTTTTAAATTTATTTTAGATATTGTATTCTCTGTTTTAATGTTGCTTTTGTAAAAGTAAACACATGTTAGGAAAACTGGTAGTGAAAGCAACTGTATTTTATAGTAACTCTTATTTCGTTTAATCTACTATGTTCTGATAAGTTATGAAAACTATTTTGTCGGAATAATTTTGGTCATTTTTATGCTAGTGAAAAAAATAATAAATAGATATTCTAAAATTAGTCTTCATCAGCTATGTTCAATATATAGATTTTGTGTTTAAGGTGCAGTTTCGTATATGTATAAACATACTCTATCTTATTTTACTAAATACTATGTACATTTACCAAAGAGAAGAAAGTACTTTATTCATTAATTGCTCTGTATTTCTACACCAAGTGGATATCTGTGATAGTTATATTACTTATAATATTTAATATTTAATGTTACATTGATTATTGTGTTGTAGCGTATGATCATAACCATTATTCATTTCGCCAAGCTTTGCCATTGTCTATAATTCTTGAGGACGGTTGATGTGAACTCTTTTACCAAATTATGTTGGAACCAGGGCCCCTTTTAAAACAATGTGGGTCTGGTACCAAATGAATTTGCTCCCTAAATGTATTTACAGCAGGGTCATTTGCGCCTACCTTTACCTAAATTCACATTTTCATTTGGGAAATGGTCGTATTCCGGACATATGACAAAACCATAAATGCCTATAGATAGCAAAAAACTGCAAGGTTGAACAAATGGTGGCATATTTGTTAGGTCTTGTACATGTTTAAAAATTATATGAAGTATTATCTTAACCAAAACCAAAATTGTATCAGAGGAAATGTTTCTCTGCAATCACATAACGTCATTTTAAATGGATAATTTATTTTTTTTTTTAAATTGCCTTCAAAAGCAATGTTCAACCACTTTAACTTTAACTTGATAATATGGATGTATATGAAATTGTTGAAAAATCTTTTAAGTATATTCCAATCTGGTATGTTTAAACAACTTTCCAATTTTGACCCCTGTGAATGAAAGAAATACAAGGGAAATTGATTCAAAGTTGTTAATAAAAAAAATATATGGTACAGTAAGTTTAACTAATTGCTGGTTATTTTGATTTTCTACTATGAAACCATTTTAATTTCTATTACATGAAGAATCAATAGGTACTGAATTTTGGAAACAATGGATCCTTTCAAAATACATTTTGATCAAATTGGATATTTATTTTAATAAGGTAGGACAATGAATAACATTTAACCAGTAAATTGATTTTACGATATAAACGGCATTTTTTTCTAAAATAAAAATGTTAGTGCTAGTGTAAAATTGCAGCTTTGATTATGGTCATCCATTTCGTTTGAGATTTTGCAGTTGCAAAAAAATATTGGTCATTATACTATTAGTTTTAAATGTTGTTTAATGGCTTTATATCAATTTCTTCATTGTATTAGCATGCTGCTAGAAAAAGGAGAAAACTTCACCTTAAACTCGAGGAAAATTTATCCACATTTTTAACTTTACAATGATGATTTTTGAAAGCATATTGAAAATTCAACTTCCACAATTATGAAATTTCCATAATTGTATAGCACCAAAATGGATATAATTATTATGTATAGCTTAATAAATACCATTATGACCAACATTTGGAAATGTATTGATATAATTGAGAGTAAAAAATAAACGGATCTATCTAACTCACTTTAGAGTAGGCATTCAGTTCATATATATGAACTTGTGATGATCATGGTATTATTGATGACAATAATAATAATGATTTTATCTACGACTTCATACGACGAATATGAGAAAGTAGAAAATGACGAATTTACTTTCCTATTAGAATGTACAAAACATAACTAATAATTCTTGTTGAAACTTGAACACTTGACTTTCGTGAGACGAGTAATATAGTACTGGTGATTTATCAATGTTAAGCGTTAGATTTGATCGCTACCTGATACAGATGGATTCGATAATCGATATAACGAATGGAGCGATCTTTCTTTTCTTTGTTTAAACAAATGTATTTTAGAAGAATGAGAGGGAGATGTCTCATCTTAAATTTCAATAACTGCAGCAGCAGATAACAGAACTTTGCCTATATACTTGTATATTTGAACTTTTAACTGATTATTTTACCAAACACTACAAATTTTGGGGGGAATTCAATCTTATGAAAATACCGAATAAGTTATTATCTGTAAATAGATCCCTATTTAATCGGCCCGTTTCACTAAGTGTGCAATGTCAAGAAAAGTAATATTAATTTTTTACAATGATATTTTTTGTATCTGTGATTATATTTTTCTATGTATTTGTTATATATACTGCTGTATCTGTTTTCATATTTTCTAGTTCTGTTTTCAATAAATATTTTCTTAAAATTACGTATTATTTTATTTGAATGATTTTGATTTGATACCTGATAAAACTACATAATATGTTGTTATCTTCCTAAACCACTTAAGAATTAGTTTATTAATAACTACATGGAAAAATGAGACCACAAAACAGACATTGGTCGCATATTGCCCTAAAGTTGTTTAAAACCTCGTACTTTTGCTTCTTGTTGATAATTGTCTTTTTTTATATGAGTGGTGAACTGTCGGATACAGAAATAATTAAGATATAAGAAACTGAAGACTATTTTATGAAATGTTGGGGTGATCAAGGTTAAAGTGGTATTGTGTTTTTATTTTTTAGGATTAATTGATTGTTGGTTGCTTAACATTCAGTAGCAAATAGTTCATTCATGTTCATGACGATATGTTTAGAACAAATCGTATTAAACCTTCATTTGGCAAAAGTAACTTTTAACGCTTTGTTGGATCTAGCTATGGGTGATGCGTTTTTTGGTTATATAGTTCACAATGAATTTATGTTTTAAATTTCCGATTGCCGATTTAAAAAGATTAAGACATGGGCATTAAAGGAAGCAAAATTTGTTGATTTTACTTTGACAAATTACGGGACGCCATCACGAGTTGGATAACCGTAATGGAATATCTGTTTCACAGATGACGACGGATATGTTCCATTTGTCGTAACCACATTCCCGTCCCCTTTTCCCTTAATGTGTCCTACCGAATTAGACTTATCACCGGGTTTGTACTTACATGAGCAACACGACGGGTGCCACATGTTGAGCAGGATCTGCTTACCCTTCCGGAGCACCTGCGATCACTCCAGTATTTGGTGGGGTTCGTGTTGCTCATTCTTTAGTTTTCTATGTTGTGTTTTGTGTTCTGTTATTTGTCTGTTTGTCTTTTTCTTTTTTTAGGCATGGCGTTGTCAGTTTATTTTCGGCTTTTGAGTTTAAATGTCCCTTTGTTTCTTTCGCCTCTCCTTTTCAATAAAGGCAACAGTAATATAACGGTGTTTAAAAGTCATAAATCGATTGAGAGAAAACAAATCCGGCTTACAAACTAAAACCGAGGGAAACACATCAACTATAAGAGGAAAACAAAGGAACAACAGGAACACTGAAGTGCAACAAAAACAAACGTCAAGATATAATCTGGTATATGTCTTATAAAACATTAAAAAAAAGATAACAGGGATCACTAAAAAAAATACAGGACAATAAAACACATCAACTACCAACAACCGACTCCAATGATAAACCCAGACTTACATATACGAACAAAGACAAATATAACAAAACGCAAAGTCCAGAAATTGATACCGCTTAATGTTATAAGTTCTACTTGATCCATATATCTACTAGCTAAATATTGGACTGTCACTCTCCAAGAGTATCGCCAGCCAAACTGCTCAGTACTTCGGTTCGGTACTGGCATGACAATATTGTTTGATTTGAATTTGCTGTTCTTTAGAAAATCATTTTAAATCAAGGAAAGTATCTCCCTCATGCAAAGATCTAATTCCTTTCCTGGTTTGCCTATCAGTACTTTTGATCCTGTTCGGTTGTATCAGCTCTCAAACCTGAAAACTAATGAAATATAAAACCACTTAGTAATCTTTCTTTACAAATACAAATACAACATGGTTTGCTTGTTACGTTATTTGCTCAAGAGAAACACAAAATTACATGCGCAACAACAGCTTTTGTGAGAGGTGTAATCGTTCTTCCGACTAACAAATTGTTAGCATATAGCATCTCATGTTTTTGTAACAGGTTCTATTTCAAAAGTAACAAAGTAACAATAAAAAAGAGAACCGATTTCACCATGACAAAGTGAAAAAGACGAAAAACAAATAACATACCACAAAACACTAAACAGAAACTAAAGATTGAGTAATCAAAAGCCTTGAGTGGACTTACCTCTACAGAAGGGTAAGTAGTCCCAGCTCCACTTTTGACACCTGTCGTGTTGTTTGTTACGAGCAAAACTCCGGTGAAAATGTTTATGTCATAAACGAAGAAGGGAGGACGTGGTATCAACAAATGTAACAAAAAAGTGGTCATCTTTATTCAACACATGGAATATATATGTGGTCATGAGTATTCAACAACTATCAAATATATCCAATCTTGCATTTTCTGTAGATAATTTCAAACTATCATAGATAAAAAAGAAGCTTTTTGGAATACGTCTTTCAATTCCTAATGGCGTAAATGGGTTTAGCTTTCTATATTTTCAAACTGACATGTACCTGAAAATACTTATATGAATCGGGCTCAGAACAATTGATTTCAGATGTTCTTTAAATTCTGCATACGTAACATTTTAAAATATATTTATTAAAGGACGTTTTAACACAAAAGCGTTTCAACAATATTATAAATTTCCATTCGCCTATAGTGAATTTATCTTTTCTGAGTACAGTTTAGTAGTACAAAATGCAATTCAGATAAGTATGTTAAGAAATATCCTTTCCCAGATGATTAGAATAGATGTAAAGATTTTCTATTGAGGATATGATTATGGAGAAAGTATATTAGATGTAAAGTCTGGGTAAAAGAGAGAAAACGGTAGATTTCGCATGAAAACCGATCTCTGTAAGACAATGTTCATTCCAGATTGGTCTTTCTAGGGACAAACAGAGGTCAGTGTTAATGTCAAAATGACAACACAACAACAAAACAAATTCAAAAGCAAAAACAGACTATTCATCTATATCTTGTATTTACTCATTTTGAAATAACTATTTTTAAGGAAATTGAAAGTTAACGTAAGAAAGTTTTTGACAATAAAAAGATCCACTTGTTCTATTTGCACGCATACATTTTATAAAAAAAAAACGAAAAATCACCAGTTTCTGTAGTTCTTACCTTAATCAATTTGTATGTTTTCCAGTTTTACATTCACGGTAGGAATTATCCGAAATAGTAAACGAATCGAAGATTATCGCATTTTAAGAGTTATCAAGAATTTCTAAATTAAACCTTTTTAAGTATAAAAGGGGAAATTACTATGATAACGAGTTGTATTTTAACATTGATCTATTGGGGGAGGGTTCCTCCCCGAGGGTATTACCAGCCCAGTAGTCAGCACTTCTGTGTTGACACGAGTTGTCATTGATATGGTCATAATTATAAATTAACTGTTGCATATACAAAAATTGGAATTTTTTGAAATACTAAGAAATTTCTAACCCAGAAAAAGACTACTTAAGCTGTATTTTGCAAAACCTTTCGGAATTTTGGGTCTTCAATGCTCCTCAACTTCGTACTTTATTTGGACTTTTCCAACCTTTTTTTTGGAGTGTCACTGATGAGTCTTTTATAGACGAAACGTACGTCTAGTGTACAAAATTTTAATCCTGGTATCTATGATGAATTTATGTACACCGTCTCGGTCGATGCCACTGTTGGTGGAGGTTTTCGCTCCGAGGGTATCACCAGCCCAGTAGTCAGCACTTTTGTGTTGACATGAATTATCATTGATATGGTCATAATTATAAATTAGCTGTTTACTAAACTTTGAATTTTTAGAAATATTAAAGATTTTATACCCCAGGAATAGACTACCGTAGCTGTATTTGGAAAAAAACCTTTCGGAATTTTGGAATTTAATGCTCTTTAACTTCGTACTTTATTTGGCATTTTGGTTTTTGGTGTATAAACATCCTAGTATCTATGATGGATTTATTTGGACTGCATACAAATTGTAGTTAATGATCCAAAGACTTAGAACAAGCTTTATTTTCTATTTAAATGAACTTTTTTGTTTTATTAGAAGTATAAACTGTAGACAAATACTTTCTGATCTAACGTCATAGTTCAAGGAGGCAATAAAGAAAGATCTTACTTTTCTAAGAAGTTTCACATTTAGGTAATGATATTAAACTAGTATCATGTTATAATTTTATATATAAACTGCCATGCATGTATGTAAAAGTAAGGATGATTTGTTCTATTTAAGCTGGGAATAAACGTATCCATTGAAAAATATATATTTCTATTAATCCGTATTTTATTCATGAAAACAGGTAGTCTTCTTAGAAGAAAGAGAACATAATTAAACATAAATAATTCAATTCAATTCATTTTAAATGTGTATTGCCATATAAACTTTAAACAATAAGTTTGTGACAAATACAAAATAAGTATATGAAAATATAGTGTTGGGGTGTAAACATACGGGTATTTAAATTTGATAATCTTAGATAATAAGACTAAATATAGATTTTAAAAATCCGAGATTTTAGAATAAGGTCATGTTATATACAGACTACGTAAGTACTTGTACTAACTTAAAATCTTTTTATACATGTAAACTATCATGAGTATATATCTGAAGATCTGTTCAATATGTCAGACCTATCACTAATGTATAACTTCAAATAAGAGCAAAAAAGCTGATGTCATTTAATACCAGTACCACTTCCTGGTTTAGTAGAAAGATGTGAGGATTGGCCAAGATGATCGTGCTAAAGCTTCAATTAGCAATTGTTTTCACTAATTACATCTAAGCTACTTGAATATGTACTTGGTGCATAAAATCAAATTTGATGGTAAATTCTTTATCAGTGATAGTAAAAATAAAAACAAACTGGATAAACAGGTTCTTTTGACACCATGGTTTATTACACTGATGACCTGTAAGGCTCAAAGTTAATAAAGAATTTGAATGGAAAAGGATTTTTTTTTTAAACATTTTATTTTATAGTTTTTAAAATTCATAGAGAATTGACGGGTTCCTCGGTTAACCTGCAGTTACTCGTCCAACGCTTTCTACTTATACTAAAATTGTGTTGTATATGTTTTGCTGTCATTATATATATACATAAATTCTTTTGTTATAAATTAGGCCGTTAGTTTCCTTAATTGAATTGTTTCATATTTTTCATGTCGAGGCCTTTTATAGCCGACGATACGATATGGGTTTTTCTCATTGTTGAAGACCGTATGGTTACCTATAATTGCTTACATCCACTTCATTTGAAATTTGGTGGATAGTTGTCTCATTGGCAATCACACCACATCTCCTTAATTTAAATTGCTAATGAATTGATTGATTGATTGTTGGTTGTTAACGTCAAGTGTTATTGTTAATGTAAAGAGAGGAATTATTAAATTAAATATACGTTGTGATAAAATGCTTCCAATAATATTGCTGAACAGTGCAATAAAATTTTATTAAATTTAATTCAATCGTGGTTGGCTAATAATAAACAACAATGTTCTTCAAGTATGTAGTTTACAAATGTGATATATGTAAGGTTTATCTTAACTGGTCATGATTATGCTCCTTGTACAACAAGAAATGTTTACATGATGACATGGCCCAGGTTTATAAATTGCATTTTCTTTTTCAAAAATTTAAAACTACATTGATTTTAATTGTTTTTTCTGTCTCTCGTAAGCAGAAAAAAATCCATGAAAATCAATGTGTGGTCTTATTAAGCTGTGGACGAAATTAAAAACTAAATGTGAAAAACCACGCAAGTTCATTTTTGTTTAACTTAACAAACGCCTTGTAAATTTTTCCAATCATACATGTATATTGACCCTACTATACTTTTATTGTTATTTTGTTTAAGTAATGCCTGTGTGTGTTCAGGTGTAAATGCCATCATCATTGTCAATGGATTCAGATATATACAACCCAAGTGTTGACTGGGGTATAGAATGTTGTCATCCCTGGACTTCTTACGGTCCGGTAGTAAAGTCTTTGTTTCAATGGTGTGTCCGTTTTGGCTGTTTGTGATGAAAACATTCGCAGCCTCGTTAAGTCGGAATGAGGTAATTAAATCCGATTCCTCGTGTAGGGTTAGTTTTACTCTCTCTCTGCACGTTAAAAAACTCTCAGAGGGGTACATAGGTGGTCTGTTGCAAGGTTAAATTGTTGCCCCTGTCCAGCATATATACCCTTATTTTCCAGTGGCAGGCAGCATCTCTCCCTTCATCACGTTGTCCCACCATGCGAAACCTACCTTATATTGTATTGATTGTAATTGTGTTCTCGTCCTGGATATGCATAAAATAATTGCCACTGGACGTTAACAAACAAACAATCAATCAATCAACCAGATATTTACATAACAGTCAAGCGCAATTTTCATTTTTATTTGTGCATAATCAATTAAGCTCTTCGGTTATGTGGAAAAAGTACACCACTTTTAAAAGGACATTTTAGAAATTAAACTATGTATATATATATATATATATAATACCAGTGTATGAGAAACACATCTTATTCGTTTTCTATCGTTTAAAGAGTTTTTTAACCATAAAAAATTATAATTACCGGGGTATTAACATTTTTTGTCATTTGCATTATATATAGAATTTCATAGATATGGAAAACTGTTTTTTTTTATTGTATTGATATAAGAAAAATATTTGAATCGATTTTTTTATGATTTTGTAGTCTTTTGAATTATCATGGAAAAGGGAAGAATGAACATAGAAGACGAAGGAAGACTTCAGTCAAATATACTTTACCTGAAAGACAACGTAAATCCTGACGATGTAATAGATCATCTATTACAAAATTATGTGATCACTTTTGATCAGCATGGTGATTTGAAAAGTGAAAAGACAGCCTCGGACAAAATGGATAAATTGATTAAAGTTTTGAGATTTGCGGGAACAAACTCGTACAGGAAATTTGTGGACTGTTTACACAACAGTGGATATCCACATGTAGCAAATACGCTCTTGTCAGGTATATAAGTAATGTCGATAGTTACATGTGTCAATGACATTTCAAAAGACAATTCGGAAAAAAAGTCTCTTTAAATCTAAATGACATGGTCAACAAAACAATATCAATTCAAACAGGGAAAAAACTTTGAACAAGACGAACAGAAAGTTGCCAATCCCGAGTCGGACGACCAGTTTTTATAAAACACGTATAAAGATAACAAGGGGGACAATAAAGAATAATACTTTGAAGAAAGACGGACAATACCATTGCCAAAGAAAAAGATGACAGGACAAATATACGTCCTCAAAACACTTTACATCAAAACGAATATTAAGCAACACGAACCGGGTTAAAACCGGAGACGGACTCGTGTGCTCCGAAGGGTAACAGTTCCTTCACTTTAAGGACCTGTCGTGTTGCTTTGACAAGTAAAACGAATTACGACGATAGTATGGCATCATCTGTGACACATATTTAATGGATTATCGAGGAACGATGACCTTGTTAAACTGTCGACGAGATGACTCCACATTTACCGCTAAGAGACACTGATTCGATAGTTTCTAAGTAAGCAGCAATCATCTGTCAAAAGAAATCCTGATAGATAACGAATAGCGTACCAACTAGGAAACATAAACTCAATATAAATGTGCTTCTGGAATGCTTCTGAATAAAAATAAAAATTCCACATTGAAATCATGACACTATAGTAAAAACTAAACATAGTTTGCTCATTATGCACACGAACATAGAACCAATAAAATATTTATTGTTAAAGCAATGCATGATTAACATTGAAACATCTACATACTCCAACACTAAAATGAACGTAACATACATATTGAGTTTTATAATATATTCTACAAAAACAACGATATATAGGTTAGGAAAGTGTGTTATATGTTATGTTTTATCTTGAAATGATGTCATATCATAGCATTATTAAGATTTCATTCTTTTTCTTGATTTCGATTTCGGCTCTCACTTTAAAAATTACCTTCTAAATAACGACTCTTATTATTTTTTTTTTATCTGACTATCCGACTTACGAATAGATTCCGAAGGGTAGACTGGGGTATAGAAATAGGACTACTTGGAATTCCCCAATCCGGCATTAACACTTATGCTAAAGAGGAACGTCTGTTTGGCTTTGACAGATGCATAAATACACAGACACAACCGGTTAATATTGTGACTTTAAATCCGATGCATCGTGTGAAGAGTACCACGCCTTATCAACGTTAAAACGCCCTTGCAACATATGTTTAATTTCGGATAGAGACAGAAATTTGGCCAACTGAGTACCCCCTTCATTCTGATTGACCCAATGAGATTTATTGTTAAAATGTTCTCGTTCTGAATATGCATGAAATATTTTCTACTGGATGGTAAGCAACCATTACATAGTATATTGTTCTAGTATCATATGTCCAACCGTCTATGAAATATTTGAAAAAACATTTATTACGGCAACATTATTTTTATTTCAAAATTAACGTAGAAACTATGTTGTCTTTTTAACTTCTATATACGGTCATTGCATCTACTTTCTTAAGGTGGGCGCATCGAACGAGCTCAAACACTTCATATTATGTCGAGCAGCTAATATTGTGGAACGTCTTAATTAAGAAAATCTTATAATCTATTTATTGTGATTTTTTCTACAGGCTAACCGAATATGACTAGAAACGTTCGGGTCAAATTTATCAATATGGGATCAAACATTACTTCGGTGATAAGTGCGGATCAAATTTACTTTTTGAATGGTCTGTTAAAACTAAGAAGAATTCACATAATCATGAAATTGGAGCGAAGAACTCCGCAGGGCGATATAGACACAGTTAAGACCGAAAATTACTTTTATCAATATATGTATTAATTTATGTTTTATGTTGCTTTGACAGATACAACAGCAACGAATGTGAAGCCAGAAACAATTACAAATGTAAACGATACCGGAAAATATGCTACTGAAAACGAGGAAAATTTACACAAAGTCAGATCAAAGTACAACAACACCAACAACTCGCAAAAACTACAGGCAAACTCTGATGATTTGAATGTTACAGACGGACCTGTCAAACCAGATCAAATTGCCAGTTGTACATCTGCTGAAGCAGCGGCAGCAGATACTCCTGAAGAAACGGATTATGATGAAATTCCATCAGAGGATGAACATAGTGAAGATCTGGAAGCAGAATACGATACTCCCCAATTTACAGACTCAACTGAACTATGTCTGCGGATTCCATTTAAAGACGGCAAGTTGGAAGAATCGTCCCATTTTAATTACTACAAAACATACACAGAGCTTTTGTCTCTCCCGGGATGGTGCCCACGAATAAATGACACGAATGTAAGTTGCGATAGGAACGTTAGACAAGGTGACTTAATATGTATAATTGCATTCACTAACGGATCTGATAAACGCAATATCAATTTCTATGGGTGATTTGACATTTTTGTCTTACCCTATACAAGAAAAAGTATCATATATTCATTAATATTGCTTTTCCTGAAGTTACGGAACAAAATATACAAAATATCTTTTTTTGACCAAATTATTTGTAACTTAGGGAATTAGGATTGGAAAAATAATAGAAAAACAAAAGATATCGGGTATCAATCCATGACGCAAAATCAGTACAAGCACAGCAAAAAACACACAAAAAGCAAAGGAACAGCGCTTGTATTGCTGTTCATCTCAAAGTTAGATAAGCTTGTCAAATGAAAATTTGAAGTTGATGGCAGATCTCAAATTGTATGTGGTTGATTCAATTAAAACTTCGTAGACTCTGAACAATTTAGAGCTTGACATATGGTATTGGTATCCGTCTATTGTTGAAGAATGTAGTTTGCCCTCTATAGATGTCTTTCTGTTATTATGTAATTGGGGCTCTGTCTCATTGAAGACTGCTGTACATCTTCTTTTATCAATATGCATGCATCAGTAGTATATATTTTGTACATGATAAAGCTTAAAGTAGACATTTTCCACAGAGAATTCACGGCATGTTTATAGCTACATGTATATCTATTTGAATTTTTAAATATTCGAAAGTGTGTTAAGTAGTACAAAAATGTATTATCTTCTTATTCTTATATGTTTTATCTGAGATATATATATAGCCTTCTCTCAGAGCTTCAGATATACTAGTAAAGTCAGCGTTTTTACAGATAAGAAACAAGTGAGAAAATGGCAACAATGAGTAGAACATTAAAATCATTTGTAATAAATATCGATGCAATATAATACTAAATGAATGAATTACGTATTAATTTATTTATAGCACAACAAAGTAGTGAACTCTCTGAAAAATGAGGAATTTTTCATATGGTATAGCAAACAGAAAGAAGCTTTTATTATTACTCTGAGGTATATTACTAGTATATGAGTTGGTTGCATTTTTATCCATAGTGTCAAAGCCGTTAATAAACTTTTTAGCTCACCGGGGCCCGAAGGGCCCCATGTGAGCTTATGCCATTACTTGGCGTCCGTCGTCGTCCGTCGTCTGTCGTCGTCTGTCGTCGTAAACTATTTCAAAAATCTTCCCCTCTGAAACTACTGAGCCAAATACCTTCAAACTTTAACTGAATGTTCCTTAGGGTATCTAGTTTATAAATTGTATCCGAAGTTTTGATCCATCAACAAACATGGCCGCCATGGCTAAAAATAGAACAAAGGGGTAAAATGCAGTTTTTGGCTAATATCTCAAAAACTAAAGCTTTTAGAGCAAATCTGACATGGGGTAAAATTGTTCCATTGGTCAAGATCTATCAGCTCTGAAATTTTCAGACGAATCGAACAACCCATTGTTGGGTTGCTGCCACCGAATTGGTAGTTTTAACAAAATTTTGCAGCTTTTTGTTATTATTTTGAATATTATTATAGATATATATAAACTGTAAGCAGCAATAATGTTCAGCAAAGTAAGATCTACAAAAAAGTTAATATGACCAAAATTGTCAATTGACCCCTTAAGGAGTTATTGCCCTTTAAAGACAATTTTACAAAATTTGTTCATTAAGTTTGCTAACATTTAAAAATCTTCTTCTCTGAAACTACTGGGCCAATTACCTTCAAACTTTAACTAAATGTTTCTTAGGGTATTTGGTTTATAAATTGTATCCGAAGTTTTGATCCATCGACAAACATGGCCGCCATGGCTAAAAATAGAACATAAGGGTAAAATGCAGTTTTTGGCTTATATCTCAAAAACTAAAGCTTTTAGAGCAAATCTGACATGGGGTAAAATTGTTCAATTGGTCAAGATCTATCAACTCTGAAATTTTCAGACCAATTGAACACCCCATTGTTGGGTTGCTGCCACCGAATTGGTAGTTTTAACAAAATTTTACAGTTTTTTGTTATTATTTTGAATATTATTATAGATATATATAAACTGTAAGCAGCAATAATGTTCAGCAAAGTAAGATCTACAAAAAAATTAAATGGCCATAATTGTCAATTGACCCCTTAAGGAGTTATTGCCCTTTAAAGACAATATTACACAATTTGTTCATCAAGTTTGCCAACATTTAAAAATCTTCTTCTCTGAAACTACTGGGCCAATTACCTTCAAACTTTAACTAAATGTTCCTTAGGGTATCTTGTTTATAAATTGTATCCGAAGTTTGCATCCATCGACAAACATGGCCGTCATGGCTAAAAATAGAACATAAGGGTCAAATGCAGTTTTTGGCTTATATCTCAAAAACTAAATGATTTAGAGCAAATGTGACATGGGGTAAAATTGTTTAATTGGTCAAGATCTATCGGCCCTGAAATTATAAGACGAATCGTACAACCCATTGTTGGGTTGCTGCCACCGAATTGGTAGTTTTGACAAAATTTTGCAGTTTTTTGTTATTATTTTGAATATTATTATAGATATATATAAACTGTAAGCAGCAATAATGTTCAGCAAAGTAAGATCTACAAAAAAGTTAATATGATCAAAATTGTCAATTGACCCCTTAAGGAGTTATTGCCCTTTAAATACAATTTTACACAATTTGTTCATCAAGTTTGCCAACATTTAAAAATCTTCTCCTCTGAAATACAGGTGAGCGATTCAGGCTCTTGAGAGCCTCTTGTTTATGTTAGTTCTTACCTTTGGATGGCGGTTGTCGTCTGCGCTGAGACTACTATTTCACATATTGTGTATCACAATTTAGTAGTCACAGGGTGGTGTTTGTCCTCAGAAATTGCAGGAAATATGTGCCGCCGTGCATTACTTAAACGACGATCAACTACTGTTTGGCTGGAGGGATAACATTGTAGTCAGTTTTCCGACGGACCGATCGGAAAGTGACTTGTAAATCCGAACATGCAACTAGATTTGTTTCACTCAGAAAACAAAAAATATAAACAAATCGAAGAAACCCAATGGAATGTTTATACATTTATTTCATAGTCTTAATGTTGAAATAAAACACCTTTCTACAAATATTCTCTTAAAGAAATCATTATTTCATCCTACTCAATCTCGTTGTAAATAATTGTTTAGAATATTAAAGATTTCAAATGTTATCTGTTTTGGAAAAATCTAGCATCAAAGGACAAATGGAAACAAATATGGACTTAACATTGAAAAATAAATACCACATAAATATATTTTTGAAGAATTTGCGTTCTTTAAGTTTGAATGCACTATAATTTGCTTCATATAAATACAGAAAATCCATGAATTTATATTTAAATCAAATTTTGTATTTGAGTAAATACTAAAAAGGGCACCATGTTGTTGTCAGAACACAGATAACGCTTTGATACTTATAACTTTAGTGAAGGACCGAGACATATTTAAAACGTCTCAACCTGAAGGATAGACTACGGAATACAAACTTGGTCATCTCGTGTTTTCCCATATCGCAGTAAAACCAATGCTAAAGAGGGGCGTATGTTTGAGTTTGCGGGATGTATAAATACACAGCAACGGCCGGTCGCAAGGAGGACGTTAAATCCGTGTAGGAAGAGTGTCCTTTTCTTTGCACGTGAAAGAATCCTTTCAAACAACTAGGTGGCTAGTTACAAAGGAAAATATCTGTCCCTATTCAACAAACACTTTCTTATTGGCAATAAAAATTTCCCAACATTTAACCTGGTCGACACACGCTACAGAACCTATAAATTTGATTCATAAATTCGTTCTCATCCTGAATATGCATGAAATATTATTAAGTATTATATTATTTTGCTCTGGAAGTATAATTTATATATGTTACTACAGTATTTTAATCATAAGTTGTGCAAGGTTTTGTTTTTGTTTTCTAGATTGTGGTATTCTTTATAAAATTATGATTTTACAATGATCATGTGATATTTTACTTTTTCATTTACAGAACCAACTTGCACCAAGAGGGTTGTATTTATGTCAAAGTGAAAACAAGGACGGATGGAACTGATAATTTATACAGAGTATCAAAAGAAAACGAATTTAAATCACTTTTAGAACTGTTTAAACATTACTTTCATAAAGGTTTACCGACAAAGTTCATTAAAAAATAAAATATTAACGAAACTTGTGTTTTGATGTGTTACAATGCTTGTGGTAATGCTTGAAAACGACATTCCCGCCATTTATCTTGGTCGACCCACGCGGCAGAACTTATCAATTCGATTTATAAATTCTTTCTCATCTTAAATATGCATGAAATATTTGCCACTGGATATTGAGCAAGCTACAATCAATTAATCAATCAATCAGTTTTTTTTGCTTTTGAAATAAGAAAATTTTAAATATTTTTATTTTATTGATGGAGTTCAAAATCTATAGTTAACACATTTCTAACAGTTGCTGATCAAATTTAGATAAATAAACATTGAAAATAGTCAAGGTCAGGTAAACCATGTTAGAATGTTATGTTCTACTTATAAACATTTCATATATATCATAAATATATTTGAATTATGAGTTGGAGAAATGGACATTCTGGACAAATCACATCAGTGAAGCATGGAATTAACTTCAAGGTCAGATAAACTGAAGACGAACATGTACCACTTACAACCATTCTTTAAAACAAATAAAGTGGACATATCATTTACAAGAGTGCACACGCTGAAATGTCTCGCCTGTTTTACTCACTATTGATTTTATGTTGAAAGTCTTAAAGATAAAGGTTTTGCTACAAGTATCACATAAGCTTAACATTTTTAAAGAGCCATGACAATGAGGTCAAGGTCAGATTAAAACTGTCACCTTACAATTATTACATATACCAATTATAGTTGACCTATTGCTATTAGTACTTGAAAAACAGACCAAAACACAAAAACTGAACATTGACCAATGAACCATGAAAATCAGGTCAAGGTCAGATGACAACGGCTAGACAGACATGTATACCTTACAATAATTCCATAAACCAAATAAAGTTGACCTATTGCTTAAAGTGCTTGAAAAACAGACCAAAACACAAAAACTTAACATTGACCAATGAACCATTAAAATGAGGTCAAGGTCAGATGAAACCTGCCAGTCTGACATGTACCCCTTACAATCATTCCATACACCACATATAGTTGACCTGCTGCTTGTAGTATCTGAGAAACGGACCTAATCACTTAACTTTAACCTTGATCACTGATGCATGAATTGAGGTTGAGGTCAGGTTAACCCTGTTTGACAGGCACGTAGACGTTGCAAGAAACCCATACCAAATATAGTTACCCTATTACTCATAATAAGTGAGAAATTCACATGACAAAAAAATGTAATTCTTTTTCAAGCAGTCACTAAACCATGAAAATGAGGTCAAGGACAATGGTCATATGACAGACAGAAACTTCGTAATATAAGGTATCTGCATACAAGGTATGAAGCATCCAGGTCTTCTACCTTCTGAAATATAAAAGCTTTATACAAATAGTTTACACTGCCGCCACCGGATAATAATACATATGTCTCGCATACTGCGACTTTCGTCGCAGGCGAGACAATAGTTATCGAGAAACTGACCTTGACGTTGATCACTGAACCATGAAAAGGTTCAGGTCAGATTTGTATGTACCGCTCACAACCATTCTATTTGCCAAATAAAGTTGAATCATGAGGCGTAGAGAAAAAAACCAGACCAAATCACGAAAACTTGGCGTTTAACTGTTGGCATCTTGTTTTTTTGTATTTTTGATGGTACATGTATAATGCAAATGTTGAAATTAAAACAGCAATATGTAAACATGTAAACTATGCAAAACATTCAAAGTTAATCATGACTGGAGGTGCAGGGCTAAATAACCTCCATGGAAATGAAAAATGTCAATGGTTATAAACCTGCATACCATTGACTTATCATAAGAGTTCCTTTTAAACTAACCTGAACACAAAATCTAATAGGTAAACAAGGCAAAACATTCAAAGTCAATAGACC